TTTATTTTTTGTTAAATCACATGATCTATGTGTTTATGTATACATTTATTAATGTATACATTCATGCATTTATGGGGTACAATGTGCTGATTTCATATAGAATTAGGAACGCTTACATCACACTGGTTAATATATATCTCACCTCATTTACTTAATTATTGTGTTAAGACATTTATACTGTATACTTAATAGATCTGACATGTACCCCTGCAATATTCACCATAGGTGTGATTGCACCATTCACCTTCCCACCATCTGGCCTCCCCCCTCCCCTCCCACCCCCCCTCCTTCATCCTGGACCATAGATCTGTTCATATGAAAGTGTGACTATAAATTGGTTTCATAATAGTACTAAGTACATGGGATATTTTTTCTTCCATTCTTGAGATACTTTGCTAAGTAGGATATCTTTCAGCTCTATCCATATAAACATAAAAGAGTTAAAGTCTCTGTCATTTTTTAAGGCTGCATAATATTCCATGGTATACATATACCACAATTTATTAATCTATTCATGGGTCTATAGGCATTTGGGCTTCCTCCATGATATGGCTATTATGAATTGAGCTACAATGAACAATCTGGTGCAAATATCTTTGTTATAAAGTGATTTTTGGTCTTTTGGATGTACTCCTAGTAAAGGAATTGCAGGATCGAATGGTAGGTCTACTTTTTGATCCCTGAGTATTTATTCTCTATACTTCTTTCCAAAACGGATATATTAGCTTGCACTCCCACCAGCAGTGCAAAAGTGTTCCCTTTTCTCCACATCCACACCAACATCTATTTGGGATTTTGTTATGTGAGCCACTCTTCCTGGAGTTATATGATATCTCAAAGTGGTTTTGATTTGCATTTCTCTGATGATTAAAGATGATGAACATTTTTTCATGTGTCTGTAGGTCATGCACCTATCTTCTTAAGAGAAGCTTCTGTTCAAGTCCCTTACCAACAATGAAATGGGATTACTTTTTCTTTGCTTATTAATAAGTTTCAGTTCTCTGTGGATTCTGGTTATCAAACCTTTGTCAGAAACATAAACTGCAAATATCCGCTCCCATTCTGAGGGCTGTCTGCTTTCCTTACTTACTGTGTTCTTAGCTGTGCAGAAGCTTTTTAGTTTGATCAAATCCCAGTA